AAGCAAGCATTTAACTGCACTTCTGAGATATCAGCTGATGGACTTTAACAGTAAGATGAAGAGATGCTGCTCACACTCAAGGGAAGAAGGGTGTGTAAAAGCACAATGGGAGTGCCTGAACTTATATCTGTCCTCATCTAACCCCCAGTCATTCACAGCGAGACCAAACCAACCCACTGCACCACCTGCCTGAGATTCTGTCTCTCAAACTTGTGGACACAGGTAGGACCATCTAATAACCTCAGGGGAAAGCCAAAGGGGCCCAAAACTCAAGAAGAAAGGCCATTCCCAAGTCTTCTATGACATTGCATAACATTGCATCGCTCTTAAGAAAGTGCACTAGATTCCAGAGATGGAAGGAACCTGAGAACACTTATAGTCTCTCCTCTCCAACATCCTTGACAGGAAAAAGAAAGAAAGAAAGAAACAGAAACAGAAACAAAATGTAGCCTCTGCTTTAAACACCCCCTGCCAAGAGGGAGGGCAGCGCTACTCCCTCAAGCAATGTCACCACAGAGCAATTCAACAATCACATATGCCCCCACCTGACCAGGCCCAGGACTGACACCATCCTGCTAGAACCCTGAACCTTTCCTGGAGTACAGTGGTTTTCAGAACCTGCAGCTTCCATTTGTCACCAAGATCAACCAGCAGTGGGCCCCACACCTGGCCTCCAGACCAGAAATTAACCCACCAGAGTGCCCCAATCTCAACTCTGAGTCTTGAGTTAACTTACTAGACATGTAACCATTACTTCAGGCCCTACCCCAAGGTTCATGACCTGTGGTCACTCACTTCTCCCACGCTGCTTCACTCCTGACATTCTTAAGCCAGCTGTGCACCTTTTTTCTTTTTTCTTCATTATTTTATTTATTTATTTTTATGCAGTGCTAAGGATTGAACCCGGTGCCTCACACCTGCTAGGCAAGCTCTACCCCTGAGCACAGCCCCAGCCCTGTGCACTTAAAAAAAAAAAAAAAAAAAAAAAATCCCTGCTTCTCATTTCCCTTTCCCCTCTGCAGGGCTGAGTCCAACAGAGGACTCTGCTACCTTGAGCTGCCGACACACAGACACTAAGGAGCTCAGTTTTAGATTTGAAAAAGAAGATGAAGATGTGCCCAGGGCCAGGTCCCTGGAGGTGGAACATGGGCCACAGTAGGGAGCTTCATCAATTCTGATCTTGCTCCCTTATTTAAAGCAACTTTGAATCACTCCAAAACCATTCACTCTCTCCATTTGTCCTCCTGTGCCCTCACCTCCACTCTGAGGAGTAAATATGCTGCTGTAATTCACGGAGAAGGAGCGAAGACCAAGCCAGTGAACGAATGATTAGTGAGGACAGGGGGCACCTCAGACAGAGAGGACAACTTCCCTGACCCTGTCTACCTTTGCTCCCCCGTGCTCCTCAAGGCCTCTGCCTGTCCTCTCTGGCCTTCCCCAGCCAGGCCTGACCCAACAAGTCCCAGAGCCACTCCCAGACTCAGAGCAATGCCAGAGAAAGGTTAAGAAACAGGACAGACTGGTTCCACCCCTCCTCACCCATTCCTAACCTCTGGATTCCTCTGGGGCCTGGATCCCCACCCAACCACCAACACCCTACTGCTTTCCCAACTATGTTTCTTGAACTTTCCTCACAGCCTAGCCCCATCCCCCAAACATCCTCCATACCAATTAAATGTAATTCAGCTCATGTGAGGGACTGAACAGACAAATGGACCATGGCCAGACATACATAAAAATAGAACTCAGGCCCCCACAGCAGCCATCCATCCAGGAACTCAAACCTCAACCTCTGTTGCAATCGCCTGAAATGGACTTACTCAATAATAGCCAGCTTCCGTAATCTTTGCCCCCATTTCTAACTTAGGACCAACCAGAGAAAGCCAAATAAGTCCCCCTCACAGTCACACAGGATATCTGCTGCCAGTCAGCAGCCTCCAGCCGCCGCAGGCTGGACACACCTGCTGCCCTCCCTCAAGTCTCTTAAACTCTCCCGCCCCCTTGCCTGGTTTTGAGACTTTGCCAAACGCAAGTGTCCTGGCTGACTCCCTTCTACAGCAAGCGCTGAATCAATAGCTTTTACATGAAGAGGCTTTCTTTGCATGAGAACGAGAACTCCTTGGAGTGATCTTTATTTCCAGTCACGTTCCCAGCTCAAGCCACAAGCCCGACCCCCAAGGCTCTTAGCCTAATCAAGGTCCCAAGGCCTCGGCATGGGATCTCTGCTGTAGCAGAGAGAAGTGGGTAACTCTGGTGGGCCTCCCGGAAGCCAGGACAACTGGGCTGGTTTTGAAATATGAACAGCACTGAGGAGATGGTTTCAGGAGAAGGAAACAGCAGTTCTCTTCCATTCTCCTCCTCCTTCCTTCCTCTTCCAGAGAGAAACCTCTCCTGCTTAGAGTAAAGCTTTCCTTGGTCTTCATTAAATATCTCATTGATTTCTGCATTTTCAACTTCTCTCCCTCTCTACTGAATAATTCCTCTGTGTAAAATATGCTTAAGTTGGCTTTACTCCACCCTGACCTGGCCAGCCCAATCAAATGGTGCCCTCCTTTTCCTTTTCCTTTTTTGAAGAGTGCCCTGTAGCCGCAGTCTCTGCCCTCACTCTAGTGCCTCTGCATCTGGTTCTCACCCGCTCTGCTCTGCTAGCTCTGGGTTGCTGCTGGCCAGACTCTCAAATCCAAAGCCCTTCCTGAGTCTGCAGCCCCTGGCTTCCCCGGCTCTGGTTTCCTCCATACTCTGCGAGTCCTGTCCTCCTTACCTACCCTGACCCACCTTGGCTGCCGCTCCTTCTCCTCTCCTTACATCCACATCTAAACTTGGTCTTCCCCAAGAACCTGTCCAGGGTCTTCTTAATCTGGTCAACCTCAAGGCTTCAAATGACCTTCAAGCTTATGCATGCCACTTGCACCTACCTAGTGGCCAGTTGTGACTCCCTATTGATTTCATCTGTCCAAAATCCATATTAGCACCCCAAATTTAGGATGTTCAAAACAATCATCTCTCTTCCCAGTCTTTTTTCTCCTCCCACAGAACCACAGACCCAAGTCACCCAGTCCCAAAACCTTAGTGTCATCTTCTTCCAGTGCCACTCCCTCTTTCTCACCCACATCCAGTGCTCTTGCTGTCATTACTATGGATTCCATCCTCAGAACTGCCAGGCCAGAAACCCTAACAACTGCCTCAGTGAGCTCTAAGCCCCCAGGCTTTCTCCCCCATATTGTCCACTATCGAAAAACCAGTCACACATAAAACCAGATTCTCCAAGACTGCAAAAGGAAGGGAGGCTTGCTTCATAAAGAGAGGAGCCTCCATCAGGCAGTCCTGCTTTCCATTTCCTGGAATTCACCCCACAGCCTTTACGAAGTTGCAGGTGGACTGGGGTGTAGCTCAGGGGTAGAGCACATGTCTAGCATGGCCTAGGTTCAAACCCCAGCACACACATACAGAAAAAGTTACAGGTGACCTTGGGTACCTACTGGCTCTACCCAGCCATCTTAGCCTAGCAATTCAACAGGAAGCCGGACAATTTCCTAGGCTAGAGACTTCACAGGAAGATCCTGAAATGAGTTCCAAGTCTCTACAAGCTTTCATGGGCACTGCTTTGGGAGACCAAGTCCGGAAAGGAAGGAAGAAAGATCACCAGAGGGTCCGATATTACAAAAACAGTCACTCCAGAAAGTTGAGCCATCAAGACAAACACCCACCAATGAAGGCAAATGTCCCAAAGAGAACTCAGGGGACAGGAATCTGAGCCACAAAGTCTCCTTACATGGAAATTCCCATCATTTCAAGTTTAGTGTTTGGTAGTTATTAAGGAAAGGTGTATGTGTGTGGGGGGGGGTGGTCCTTATACACACTTTTCATATCACTTCCTGTACAAAAACCCACAATGGCTCCCAGTGGCTTCCCACTACCCAGGAACAGCTACTCCAAATGCAGAGGTCTGCCAATCAAGGTACTTGGCCTCCTGGTGAGATCCAGTCTGTTTCCATTCCCATTCCCATCTATCTGCTACTGACCAAGGGAACCACGGGCCCCATCCTGGGTGCCTCTGTGTGTGCTTCCTACCCTTGTCCCTCATCTGGAATTCACTCACACATGTGCAGAGAGCTGTTTGCCCTCTCTGCTAAGAGTTAGCCTTTTTCTCGTTTTCCCAAATCCAATATTACCAATCCTCAATGGCCCAGCTCATGGGGCATTCGTGATGTCCACACCCCGCTCCCCTCCCCACTAGACGTGATTCTCCTATCTTCTGACCACCCACCCCTTCTCAGAGCACTCCTTCTGCCTTCCATTAAGTTCCTCCCCTACTTGTCTGAATCCTCTCTGGTACAGTAACTCCCTCCACGCTCGGTGTTGTGTTTTGCAGAGGAGGAAAAACAACACCTACAACACCAATTGCCTGCTTGTCTGCCTCCTCCAGATTATGAGCTCAAAGGCGGCCAGCCCTGCACACTCCTATCTGGGGCGGAGAAGCTATTCAAGGACCTTGTAGTCAAGGAATGAATGATCGGTCTTCCAGTAAACTTCCTCACCAAATTTAGCATCCAGTTCTTCAGGAAGGTGAAAAAATTAAAGAGTAAAAAGTCAAGTGCTTGGTGTCAAGAATTTGTCATGCAAAAGCCACCGCAGGGCCGGAAGCCCCACAGTGCAGCGGAACTCCCTCCCAGGCCCTCCTACTCCGGGTGCGGCTCCCCGATCGCGCCCAGCCCCCACCTCGCCACACGCCCCGGGGCAGCGGCGGGTTCCCTAGGGCGCCGGTAAGGCCGCCTCCAAAACCGCTTCCCCCGGCGGCCTAGAGCTGGCGTGGGACGCCCCTCGTGTCTCTTCCAGCTCCGCCTTCGTGATTCCAAAACGCTGGAGCAAGCTCCACCTGCGCTCCACGCCCCGGCGGCACGCTGGCCGGCGCAGGGGCGGGGAAGCGTCCAGACGCGGACGCGTCCTCCAGCGCCCAGCTGGGGGGCCCCAGCGCCGCACGTGAGCCCGCCCACACTCACCGGGGGCGCTCGGCGCTCCAGTAGTGCCGCGGGCCATGCAGAGCAGCAGCAGCAGCTGCACCAAGCAGGCAGGCGGGCGACCCGCGCCCCAGGGCCCCCGGCCCATGCCGCCGCGTCCCTCCTGGCGCGCCCGCGACTCCCCCTGCGGCCCTGGAAGCGCCGAGATAAGGCGGCGGGTGCCGCGGGGAGGGGGCCGGCCCAGTGGCTTCCGGCGCCGCGCGGGGAAGAGGAGGGCGCCTCGGGGTCCCCGGGAGGCCGTGGAGCCTGGGAGCCCGAGGACGCTGGCCGGAGTTTTCAGTCGCGCACCTCCTGGGTCCCGGGGGCACAGGACAGGGTCCGGCCCTCTGGCCTTTACTTTGGGAAAGGGGGACAGACATTTAAAGGGGAGCCCCAGACTGTGCTAGGGAGGAAACGTCCGCGGTGCGTGCACGACAGGGACAAAGGGAGGCGCCCCCCGCCCCGGGAGGCCAAAGGAGAGGGGCGAGGGGGGGGGGGGGCACCGGGAAAGGACTCTTCCAGGACGTGGAAGGGCTGGGATGAGGTTGCTGCGGCTCCAAGGGAGAGGCGAGAGGGCGGGAAGCCGCGGGGCCCAGGCACCCAGAGATAGAGACGTGACCAGGTGACAGGACCTAAAGAGCCCAGCTGTGATGGCCCGAGGACAGGCAGGAGTTCCCGCTGCTCCGAGGACGTCCAGCCTGGGGCGTTAGGGAGGAAGGAAATAAGCCGCCTGGATGAGATGGACGTGAGGAAGGCGTCTTGGCGGCGAGAAACCTGTGCTGTGAAGGGACAGGGACAGACAGTGTGTTCTAGAAATGGGGTCGTGGTGCCGGGGATGGTGGCGTACGCCTGTGATCCCAGCGACTCCGGAGGCTGAGGCAGGAGGATCAAAAGTTCAACGCCAGCCTCAACAGTTTAGCAAGACGCTGTCTCAAAATATAAAAAGGGCTAGGAATGTGGCTCAATGATTAAGTGCCTCTGGGTTCAATCCGTGGTACCAGAAAAAGAAAAAGAAACGGAGTGGGGGTCTCCTTAGTGTGGGGAGCGGATATCTGGAAAGAGACATTAAACGGCAGCCGTAAACAAATCCACATAAGCCAAGTAAAGGAGGCTGCTGAGAAACTGTAACAACAGGGAGTCACTCTATCAAGAAGGTTTTCTGTGCCTGCACTGTGGGGTTGGAGGCCTGGGGGCAGTCCCCTCCAGAGCTGCTGCAGGAATTAAGGCAATTCAAGAAAAGCTCTGGTAAAAAGAAAAAAAAAAAAGACATGTTGACATGCTTTGGAGTCCTGCATTGGCAAGTGAGTGAAGAAGTAGAGAAAATGGAGTCCACTGGATTTTATGTCCGGAAAAGAGACATTTAAGTAGAATGTCCAGAAAAGAGAAGGAAAGAGAAATTACAGATGTCATTTAGATTTATGGTTTGGACAACTGGGGTGGATAGTGGTGGAAGCCACTGAGATCAAAAAGAGATGCAGCTGGGGTAGAGCAGGCTGCAGGAAAAGAAAGATAATCCGGAGTGAAGGCTTTGAGCTTGTAATGCCCATGGGGCCATCCAAGTGCCAGAGCACCCACGACTTCAACCCATATCCACACTTGCTTTCTCTACCATGAGCTTGCCTTAAATCTTAACCACAGGAGAACACAGCCATATAAGGGCTGAACTTGTGCAGCCTTAAAAAGAAATTGTTAAAAATAAACTTCTAGACTCTTTTGTAGCAGACTTTCTTGCAAATTATTTTTGTTCAACAAAGATAGGGCCCTGCTTTGGAAAGTAGTAGATAGACAGTGTGAGTTTTGCAATTATTTAGGCCATTTTTTTTTTTTTTTTTTTTTTTGCTAAACTCAGCTCACCATGAACTTTGAAATTATGAAATATTGCAACAAATTTGCCATTTATTTGAGACATTTCTTAACCAACCTATATCTCCATCTCCCACATACTCCTCTGTAAAATAAATTCAAATATTTATGCAGGTATATATATTTTCAAAATATTTTTTAGTTGTAGATGGACACAATACCTTTATTTTATTTATTTGCTTTTATGTAGTGCTGAGGATCAAACCCAGTGCCTCACATGTGCCAGGCAAGTGCTCTACCACTGAGCCACACCCCCAACCCCTACTTTTTTAAAATTAGTGATGTCAGGAAAAATTCTCCAAAACTTGAGAATGGGCAAGAGAAATTACTGAGTGTCCTTTCCGGGTGTTGCATCGGTTACTGTCTAGTAGCCATTCAGAAATGCTCGCACCTTCTCCAGCTTGCTGCTAATAATTCTGTTTCTACTCTGTAAGGGTAGAAGTTAACTTGTAGAAAACTGATGATAAAACAAAAAGTTCTTATCTATAACAATGAAGATGAATGTTTTCCAGAAGAAATATGAGTGCCTCCTTCTTTTGTCCTACATATCATATCAGCTGGTTAACCAGTTTGGAATCTACCAGCACATCCATTTCATCATTCTCGACTTCAGATTTTCCTTTGAACCTTAATATCTTACTAGTTCTTCTTTGAAGTCACTATCTTACTGAGTTCCTCATTAATTAATTAGTTGAACAGAATCTCAGGTTTTAATTTTGTATTTGCATGAGTCATGTTTTTAACTTTTTAAATTACACTTTAGCACAAAACATATTCTATATTCTATATTAGATTGAATTATTTTTATGGGCTTTTTTGGCTTTTAAACAAATTTTTTTTGAAAAGTAGGACAAAAGCATCACTGAGCTTTCTGTCTGTTTGTTTGTTGTTGTTGCTGGAGATTGACCCCAAGGGCACTTTACCATTGCCATTGGGTACTTCTTACCCAATGGTAAGTTCATTGAATCACAAGATGAAAGATTATCTCCTTATAAGTATTTGTCAGAAACATTAAAGCAATATTGAAGGAGTGTAAACTTGGAGCAGTGAGATTATTGCTGAGAAAAATTGTTCTCTTTTTGGGAGAGAGTGGCCAATACACCATCTTTTAAAAGAGAATCTGTAGCGAGTTCTTTCCTCCACAACATCTGGATTTTAATGCTTCATTATAGAATTACAAGTTTGGGTTTCAAGATGGCATCTTCAGTTCTGAAAGTTCTTTCTCCTTCCTTCCTGATCCTGCTGAAATGGGGAAAGATACACTGTGTGCATACAGTATTTGTTGTTTGTCCCAGCTTCCTATCTCAGAACTCTTAACATCCTGGGAGTTTCCTTAGTGTGGGAGTATCTTCTGTTATTCATAATGACTCCTTTTTATAACACCTGAGTTTATGCTAATAAGATTGAAACAGTTGGGGGAGTCCCATGAAAAATAGGACCTCTTAAATTTAAAGGAGTAAAATCTCTCGCCAAGGTGTGTGTGGGGGGGGGGGGCAGTGAGAAAGCCAGACTAGTTCTTTATCTTATGAAAATGAGGAGTTTAAAAGTGGACCAGTTTTCAAGGCTATGGAGTTAAGATAACCCTGCTTGAGAATTCAGCTCAGCCTCCTGAGATGATGTGCTCAGAAGAAATGCCAAGAACTAGAGCCAGAGAAGACAAGGTCACTGAAATCAAAGCCACTGAGACAGGGTAAGCATTTGTCCTGTTCTGAAAATAATATTAGGAACTCTTCCAGATGATAAGAAGCAAATTCCAAATGATGCGGGACAGAAATGTGCATAGAGTAGTCACTGAAGCAACCTATAAAGTCTACTTTAATAACATCCTATAAAACAATCCCAGTGGGGCTGGGGTCATAGTGCAGTGGTAGAGCACTTGCCCAGCATATGTAAGACACTGGGTTCAGTTCTCAGCACCACTTATAAATAAAGATTCAGTGAAAACTTAAAAAAAATTGAAAATGAATAAATAAAATGAAAAAAAAAAAATCCCAGTGATTCCAGAGGAGGGTCGCAAGTATGAGGGCAGCGTCAGCAACATAAGCAATCTAACGAGACGCTGTCTCAAAATATAAAATAAAGGGGGCTTGGGTTGTGGTTAGTGGTAGAGTGCTCCTCTAGCATGCAGGAGGCACTGGGTTCAATCCTCAGCACCACATAAATATAAAATAAAGATATTGTGTCCACCTAAAACTTAAAAGTAAATTTTATATATATATACATATATGTGTGTGTGTGTGTGTATAAAAATTTTTATAAAAATCATACATATAAAAGAGTTGGAGATATGGATCAGTGGTTTAACACCCTGGGTTCAGTCCCCAGGGAAGGAAGGAAGGGAGGGAAGGGAAAGGAAGGAGAAAGGAAAATACAGTCTTGCTCCTGTCCTCTGTGTACCCTTATCTGATTCTTTTAATAGTGTAAAAACCCATTGAGCAGGTGACAAATGACTTACTTGGGGTCTCTAGAAAGCTCAAAGATGGGGCTCATCACCAGAAAGACCAAGTGATTAAAGAGTTTGAATGTTCAGCCCTCCCCTCCAACCTTCAGGAATGAGGGGCTGAAGGTTAAGCTCCATAAAACATTTTTTTTTCCCTTGGTACTGGGGATTGAACCCAGGGGTACTTTGCCACTGAGCTACACTCTTGGCCCTTTTTATTTTTTTAAATAAAAGTTGCACAGGCTGGCCGGAACTTGCAAACCTTCTGCCTCAGGCTCCCCAGGATTATAGAGTGTACCGGGCTCTAAACTTCACAAAAAATCTTGAACAAGGACATTTGGTAGACTGGGTGTAGTGGCCCACACCTATAATCCCCGCACCTTGGGAGGCTGAGGCAGCAGGATTGGAAGTTCAAGCCAGTGTCAGCAATTTAACTAGACCCCGGCCCCAAATTAAAAAAAAAAAAAATTATAAGGACTGAGGATGTGGCTCAGTGATTAAGCATCTCTGGTTTCAATCCCTGGTACAGAAAAAAAAAAAGAGAGAGAGAGAGAGAGAGAGAGAAATTTGGTAAATGTAGGGTAGATGGCTAAACTAGTTGGAGGGGCTGGGGAGGTGGTATGCCCAGAGAGGACAGGGAAGCTCTGCTTCCCGACCATACCTTCCCCTGTGCGTCTCTTCATCTGACCATTCATCTGTATTCTTCACAATATCTTTTATAATAAACATTAGTGTTTTCTGGGTTCTGTAAACCATCCTACCTACCAAGTCAATGACCCCATAATGGGAACATGGGAAACCCAATTTGTAGCTGCCAGGCAGAAGTACAGGTCACAGCTTGGGGCTTGAAATTGTCATCTGAGTTGGGGGACACAGGCTAGTGGGCAGT